TTTCATGTTGCAATAACACAGTAGAGATAATGAGATGTAAAGCTACATCGATCCTCTAACTCAAAAACATTTTACTGCCAATACTAATAATTGTTCCCTAGTAGTTGCATGAAAGTGCATGCGGCCTCAAATGCTTCAAGTCAATTTTTGAAAACACAATGTTCCCAAGCCCATTCATGCATTACCCCACTTTACGTTTTGTACTTACAACAATGGAACATTTATGTAGAGTCGGCTTTGTAAGTCAATTGTGTGCTTGTTCATTATTGCTTTACTTTATATAGAAAATTGAAAAAAAAAATAAAAATGGAACTTTTCGAGAGAAATTGGAAATTTTGAAAAAAATTCAGAATGATATGCTTGTAACTAGTTGGATAACTTCATCGGATAATGATGTATTTATACTTTAAATTTATATGATTTATGATATATGATCTCATGGTTCTAGTCGAGCTTCTTTTTTTTTATCATGATTATCTAGCCACTTTTAGTTATTATTATTTAGGTTTGAAAATATTGTAGCCCTGTTTATTTCAAATTAAAATCAAATTTTAATCTAAATCAAAGTCAAACAATCATTATTAACCACACATTCCATGGGTCCCACACTTTTCAACTACACATTTCAAAAACTTTTATCAGAATCTACTAAAAATCTAATTTTAATTCCCACCAAACACCCACTGTATAATACGATGGATCTTTGAGTTGGTATAAATACTCTAAAATTAGTATGATGAGATACTTCAAACACTCGATCAATATTTGTGAGTAGTTTGGGCTGGTTGAATTAATAGAAGTGATTAGTTGAATTCGTGTTGATACCACGTGAATTGTATGCAATGAGTAATTTTGATTAATAGGGGAAACTAGATTTGATCATATGTTAGGGGTATGATTTCAACTACTCGTCCCAGTATATGATATTGCATTATTTGAGACAAAAATGAGAAAAATGAGTGCATAAGCTGATGAACGAATTCCTTTCCATAGAGGTACGTTATGAACCATTAATCCTAACGCTCGTTAAAATGTCACGAGCAAAAATTTAAACTTAGCAAAGCTTCGACTCCCCATCTATTAGTCAGTCTCGCAAAGAGATCAAAGAAGTTTGTTTTCTTGAGAGTCCTCCAATAAGTCATGTTGCGCGAATTTTGAATTGCTTCTATGTATGTGGCCAAACAGGATCTAAGTATTGATAATTATAATAAAATTAATTAAAAAATTAATCATATCAAAAGCGTGATTCATTAAGTATATATAGAGAGACAAAACCTCGATTGAAATTATTTCCAAACCTGTCATATTCAAAATTCTCTCCAAATCATGGATGACGAGAATCATGAGAATCCTATTCCTATTCCTTTTCTAATTGTTGGTGCAATTTGTGCTATCATAGTGAGGTTAAGTTTACCAAAACCACCTAATCCTCCACCACCACGGCCCCCGACCTCTCGTAAATTCCGAAAATGCATTACAAAAAAATCAATCTCCTTTAGTTTTCCTTTTGTTTTCATTTTCTCTGTATTGCATCGGATTTCCATTCCGATATATTCATTAAGATGGTAGAATTCACGGCGGCTTCCGATATTGATTTTCAACTCCTTTACACTATGGTGGCTGAGTTCACGACGGTAGAAATATTGATTTATTTTAAAATGTTCTGTGACACTCCACGGCGGAGGGTTATTTTTCAATTTTTTTTTTTAAATTGAATTTTAAATACGGTAAGGTTTCTTAGATCTAATTTCTAATTAGTTCCTTTTATAATTTGCGGACGGAATAGTCAGGTTAAATTTTGTGTGGTGATTCAATTTGTTACACTCTTGCATTTTTATGATGTTTGAAATTGTTGTTTTATTAAGATGGATTGAAATCATACGATCTAGAATCATAATTGAGGAGCCAAAACTGTATGAACTGTTTAGGCTCATTTATATGGTATACTTAATCTGGAACTTGATTTAATTTATGTTTGGCATAGTTTATTGACTTAGGACAGTTCTGCACGAGATTTTAATGTTCATTCTAGACTATGAGGCAGATTTTCGAGTTTTTCTCTTGTTCTCACGTCCTCTGACTTTTTCTATTAGTTTATTTCCCTTTTTCCCCTGTGGATTCGTTGGGGAGGCATTTTGATCTTTCCTTTTACCTACAGGAGAAGATCACTACGATCACGACGACAACTGATATTGAAAGCTTAACTATAAACTGTATCTTACAATCATCTGCAACTCCTACACCAGAAAGCATGAAGTGAGTTAAAAAATATGAAATAAACTTCAAAGATGTTAGTGTAATTAACATGACAGGGGGAGAGAAGGAATTAACATTAGCTACTTAAATAATGTCATTTCCTCGCATGCACTATCTGTTTTAGATGCAAACCATGGACCAACGGTGTATTGTTTCCCTTACAAATGTCCAGAATGATTACCAAAACTGATGATCTATTAAAAAAAATGAAAAGCAATGATCAGCTGTTGTATTATGTAAACATTAATGCATAGTAATAAAATACAATAGGTGGCTCATACGGCCCTCTCGAACAAATTTTATTTAAGGCAAAAGGACTAATGCAACATTGCACCTTAATCTGTATATACATCTTTGTGTGAGCATGTGATTTGTGTATTTGGTAAAATGATAAAACCTATATAGTCTTGAAGGAAAAGAATGGTATCCCCTATCTATTTATCACCTTATTAGAACCTGGAATCAACATTGATAACACGCGCTTTTAAAGATAACTAACTCACAGAGAGATGCACTGGCCTGTGCTGCTTCTTAGAATTCTACATATGAAGCCTGAAACAAAGCATAACGGTAGCAAGAATATTGGGACTTGATAGGATTTTAGTGTCCAAGTAGTGATGATTTTCTGGGAGAAAATGAATCCGCACCTTCATTGCATCTCGATCTTCATTTATTCGCTCAGACAACTTCTTATATTCCTTTTGTGCTTCGTCCATTACTTGCTAATGACATTATTCTTTATGAAGCCGTTGACAAGATATCACGGATGTTTTACCTAAAGACCATTGAAAAGTGATAGGCAGCATCCCATTTTTCATGCATAAAACGAAGAAAACACACAGTTGTGTAGGCAGAGGAGATAGACCTCTAGGCATTAACAAATGCTCCTCTATGCACTCTCTAGGCACACAGTAAAACATAGAGTCCAGTAACTAACGCAACATCTTACTGTTGTCTTTCAAATATTCTAGGAAAACATCAATATTGCCTCAATAATTTAAAAGGTAAAAATGCAGACGAGGCTTTACACATTTCAACATCTGCAAGCAATTAGATAACTGTGTTCCATTATACTGTTTGTACCATTTCAGTTTGCACAAACTCGCACACTCTCACTATGAGAACTGAAAAGACAGAGATCATCAACTAAATAGTTATCCTATAATTATAAATTAGAAAAATCTTAGGAGTAATTATGTCTCATTATGCTAAAAAGAGAAATGAAATTAGAAATTTGACATGAACTGTTTTAATCATTCTGCATTTAGTCAAATCACAATGTAAAATTCAATTATTCACAAAATATGTATAATTTCATTAATCTGTAAATTGAAAGACGAGATCTATAAATTGCTTACAATCATGCATGTATATATATGCAACATTGTGCATAACACACAGAATGACAAAGACCTTAAAGCGCTTCTAGAGACGTTAGTGTGATGAATCCAGCTGGTACTTGATGGATTCCAGTTTAGAAGAAGCTAGATCCTTCAGATCAGAAATTGTGCTCACGCTTCTCAGCAACAGCTGCGAAATTCAAGTAGGCCGCTTTATCTTGGTGTCTGATGCACTTGCACCGCTTTTTTTGCAGTTTTTGTTCTTCGGTGATGTCAGTTTGGTGGTTGAGATGGCGAATCCATTGAGATTGAACTCGAATTGCTCCACGAGAGATTCTGGTGGTAACAGGGTGGGGTTTCTAACTGCCGCCGTGAATTTATTTCTATTTATGGAAATACAGAGGGAAAAAAATAAAAATAAAAAGCAAAACAAAACAAATTATTCATGACTCGAAAGGTTGAGGTGGTGTTGGTGGTGGAGGATTTCTACTCCTTGGTAACCACAGACTCACGATGATTGCACAAATGGTTCCTACAACTAGAAATGAAATGGGCATTTCATTCGATCCCCATGAGG